TCGTGAATTAAACAAAGTCACGATTAAAAATCGTTACCCTTTGCCCCTGGTCCCAGAGCTATTTCAGAGCCTGAAGTCTGCGGCCGTATTTACTAAATTGGATCTGAGGGGGGCCTATAACCTGGTCCGCATAAGGGAGGGGGACGAGTGGAAGACGGCATTCCGTACCCGGTTTGGGCACTTTGAATACCTGGTCATGCCATTTGGGCTGCGCAATGCCCCAGCCACATTTCAGCATTTCGTGAACGATGTGTTCAGGGATTACCTCGACATTTTTGTAATCGTATACCTAGATAACATACTGATCTTTTCACCCTCGTTGAAGGATCATAGGATACACGTGGCAAAAGTATTAAGGAGGTTGCGCCAGCATGGGTTGTATGCCAAGGCTGACAAGTGCAGCTTTGAGCAGTCTAGCATCACGTTTTTGGGTCTGATTATCTCCACCACGGGGGGTCGCGATGGACCCTCAGAAGGTCTCTGCAATTTTGGACTGGCCTGCGCCCACGGATAAAAAGGGTGTACAGCGTTTTGTTGGGTTTGCAAATTTCTATCGGAAATTCATTAGGAACTTCTCGGGTCTGGCCTCCCCCATAACTCAATTAACCAAGCTTGGAACCCGTTTCCGATGGACACCGGAGGCCCAGGGAGCTTTTGAGGCCCTGAAGAAACTGTTTACTACGGCACCCATTCTGGGCCATCCAGATGCTTCCCTGCCATACATCTTGGAAGTAGATGCATCAGAGAACGCAGTGGGCTCCACCTGTCCCAGCGGAGAGGCACCAAAGAACTCCTACATCCAGTAGCGTTCTTTTCCAGGAAGCTTACTCCAGCCGAGAAGAATTATGATATTGGCGATCGTGAATTGTTGGCCATCAAGACGGCATTAGAAGAATGGAGGTACTTGTTGGAAGGTGCCACACACCCTATTCTGATCTTCACCGACCATAAGAACCTCGAGTACCTGAGAACTGCCAAGCGGTTACGCCCACGACAGGCAAGATGGGCACTGTTTTTCTCCAGGTTCACATTTCATATTACTTACAGACCAGGGTCCAAGAACACGAAACCCGACGCGCTGTCACACATATTCGAGGACCCCAAGGAAGAACCAACTCCCGATACCATTCTGTCCTCAGGGAACTTCTTGGCCCTCCAGACAGACCTACGGTCAAAGCTGATGGACGCATCCACGACTATGTCAACCCTTTCTGGGGTGTCCCTCCAGAACAAAGGGGGACTCCTATGGAAGGAGGGGTTGATCGTGGTGCCTGAAGAGGTCCGAACCCAGGTTTTGTGACATTGTCACGACCACCCGATGGCGGGACACTTTGGTCCAGCAAAGACCCTGGAGCTTCTTCAACGTTCTTTTTGGTGGCCGAACATGGCAAGGGACTGCAAACGTTATGTGAATTCCTGCACTCTCTGCCAAAGGAACAAACCTTCAAGGAGCAAGGCTTGGGGACTGCTGCGACCTCTGCCGATCCCCGAACGGCCATGGCAGAGGATCGCAATGGACTTTATAGTCGAGCTCCCTCCGTCCCAAGGCCACACCGCCATCCTCGTGGTCATCGATCGACTATCTAAGATGGCCCACTTCTTGCCATTGAAGAATACCCCGTCGGCATCTGAAACTGCACGAGTTTTTATCCAGGAAGTTGTAAGACTACATGGAGTCCCAGAAGACATTGTATCCGACCGAGGGGTTCAATTTACGTCTAAATTTTGGAGAGCCCTATGCAAGGCATTGGATATCAAGTTATCCCTCTCCTCCGCATTCCACCCGCAGACCAACGGACAAACAGAGAGGACTAACCAGACCCTGGAGCAATACCTGCGTAGTTACACATCCTTCTACAGGATAACTGGCTATCGCTCTTACCCTTGGCAGAATTTGCCTATAATAACACTAACCATTCAGCAACGGGGCAATCCCGTTTTTTTTTTCGAACTACGGATTTCATCCTGTCTTTCTCCCTGATCTGGTCTCAGAATGCCCAGTTCCAGCAACACAAGACGCACTTGCATTTTTCTCCTCCAACAACAAACTACTGCAGGAGGCCATCACGAGGGCCCAGGAGGATAACAAGAAGGCGTTTGATAAGAAACGAAGGGGGCACCTGGTGCTGCAGCCTGGGGATAAGGTCTGGTTGGCAACGACAAATTTGAAAATGTTGTGTCCGTCAAGAAAATTGGGACCAAAGTTTGTAGGCCCTTTCTGTGTGAAGCGAATGATCAACGAAGTGGCATATGAGCTCATCCTCCCTGAGACGTTCAAGATCCACCCAGTGTTCCACGTATCCCTGCTGAAACCAGTTGTCCCTGACCCTTTTCCAGATCGAGAGTCCAGACCTCCAGAGGCCATAACTATCGAAGAGCAAGAGGAATTTGAGGTAGAAGCAATCCTGAAGTGCCGAGGGAGGGGGGGGTCAGACCCAGTTCTTAATTAAATGGAAGGGTTATGGTCCAGAGGACAACTCCTGGGAACCTACCCAACATATCCATGCACCTAGGCTTGTCCGGGAGTTTCTTCGTGATCACCCGTGGTGGAGAGATCGGGTGGGCACCCGGAGGTTGCCCGTAGGGGGGGGCAATGTCAGGGATCCCCGCGGCGCTGGTCCCGGCGCAGGCGCAGTGCGCCGCTCTCTGCAGGGACGCGGGCACCAGTTCCTGGTCGCAGCATTCAGGCTTGCGCATGCGCAGTAGGAACCGCGGTCGCGCGCCGGGCACCAATGACAGCGCAGGGCGCGATATTTAAACGGCCCTGAGCTGTCATTCAGTGCCTTCTGGTCTCTTCTGCATACCTGTACCTGTGATCCTGTTTCCTGTAAATTGCTGACCGGATTGAACCTGACCCTTGCTGTATTCTCCCACTCTGACCCCTGGCTTGCCTGACCTCTCTCCTGGATGCCCCTTACTAGATCTGACCTCCTGTTGCTGACCTGGCGTGTGACCCGACTATTCTCTACCCGCTGCTTTGTACCGCACCAACCCCACTGTTACCGACCCGGCTTGTCTGACCTTGCACCTGCTCATCCATCCATCCATCCATCCCACCGGGGTCTCCCGACCTCCTCACATCAGGCTCTTCCCCGTGGGAGCCCCTGGCGAATACCCCTACCACTGACAGGCGTACTCAGGAGCCACGACCTGGTCTCAGGGTACTCCAAGTCCATCCCCACCATCAGGGGCTCTGGTGAACAAGTACCCTGGGGCTTAGACTCCGTGCCCTGGGAGCGCCTAATCAGTGGAGCGCTAGTGGTACCGCCAGGCGGTCCCTTACAGTATGATCTCATGCGAGGTGACACATATCTTCCATCCATCACTTTGCCGTTCATACTGTCACATATCCCCCCCCCTCTGCTCAAGCCCCTGCGGCTGAGCAACTGTCCCAACCAGGCAATGGACCCGGGAAAGGGCATCTACATTACTTTGCAGTTTCCCCGCTCTGTGTTCCACTGTGAATTTGAACACTTGTAGCGCGAGAAACCACCTTGTCACTCAACTGTTTTTTCTCCTTATTATCACACATCCATTTGAGCGGGGCATGATCAGTAACCAACTTGAACGGTCTTCCTAACAGGTAATATTTCAGGGCCTCCAAGGCCCATTTGATGGCCAAACATTCCTTCTCCACAATGGCATAGTTTCTCTCATGTTTGTTGAGTTTTCTACTTAGGTAGACCACAGGGTGCTCCTCCCCATCTCTGATTTGGGACAGTACCTGTCAGGAATGGACTGGCCAGCAATGGTGGGACTCACCTGCCTTTTGATCTGCAGTACCAGGGCTGGCCAGCGGATGCTCCCAGCAATCAGAGACTCAACTTTGCAGCCAGTTAACACCTGGAACTGATTATGCTGGGGTATTTAAGGGATGGCCAGACCCACAGACTCTGCCTTGGTGTTGTGTTTGTCCTGAGCCCTGTATTCTGTTTCTGTCCTGCATCCTGTTTCTGAACCGCTGCTGACTTTCTCCTGCTCTGATCCCGGCTCGCTCCTGACCATCCCTCTGCCTGACCCTCTGTACCACGCTGCTTGCTACCTGTTCTGATCCCTGGCTTGTGACCCTGACCATCCCTCTGCCTGACCCTCTGTACTACGCTGCTTGCTACCTGCTGAACCTGGCCTGTGACCCCGACCAATCTCCGCTTGCTCCCCCTGTACCTACCTGCCCTATTGATATTGACCCGGCCTGCCTGACGACGCTTGCTTGTATGTACTGTTATCTGTGGGTGGTTGGTTTGGTTTGGTTTGGTTGCACTGTATTATGTTTTAGTATTGCACTGCGTTTATGTTTGTATTGTTAGTGTTAATAAATTATATTGTTTATAACATATCTGAGGTCTGCGTTTCCCTGCGTCAGCCACACACCTCTGGTCACACCTGGGAGCCCTGACATTACACCAAGGCCAATCCTGACCAGAAGTGGCTGCACAGGGAAGCCATCTTGGCTTGTTGCTGGGAAGGATGGATCTGGATGAGGTTGTGTATTTATATCTGCTAGTGTTTGATGACAGGGAGTATGCTTATCAAACTCTGAAGGAGTATCCCAGGGATCAACTACTAGAATGTATACGGCTCGCTCATGTTCTAGTAGATCAGGGCACAGAGTTCTCTGAGGTGCAGCCTTTGATTGAGGTTTGTGCTGAGTTGGTTTCATCTGGTTCCCCCGAATGCAGGGATGAATTTTTGCCACCATTTAGTGCAGACCAGGTAGAGTCCCTGGTGTGGTTATTAGAGGATGATGTAGGTTACTTTCTGGAGCGTTATTCCACATGTTCACCACAGACACTAAGAGATTGTATAAACGCAGTGCAGTCATTGACCAGACAGGCTTTGTGTAAGCTCAGCTTTGTTCAACCCATACTGCAGACATGGACAGATTTGTTACACCCAGCCTCAGTCAGCTTACAAAGACCCAGTCCTGCTTCTAATCTATCTCCTCAAAGCTCTACTCCTGTATTCCCACCAGCTCCTCCAGTTACAGCCCAGTATACTTGGCTATCTACCGCATGTCAGTACCCTGTTCCCACTCGCTGCACCTATCCTGCCTTTAACCCTGTAAAAAAGCCCTCTGTAGCAACTGCTCCCTCTCCTGTTCCATCCTCCAGTTTTTCTCTGTCTCCAGCTGCTCCATTCGTTTGCAGACCTGCGTTTTCTTGCAGTGCTCCAGTAGTTAAAACCAGAAAAAAGCGAAAATTCTTTCCAACCAATACCATCCTGCTAGTATCCAAACCGGTGAACCTGCCTTCCGTGACTCAGCCTGAAGCCTCTACTCAGCCTGAAGCCTCTACTCAGCCTGATGCCTCTACTCAGCCTGATGCCTCTACTCAGCCTGATGCCGCTACTCAGCATGATGAACTGATCCAGCCCGACGATCCTATTAGGCCAGTTGACTCGATGCCCGCTGTTGATCCAGATGATCCGGTACCTGATCCAGTGCCCGCTGTCGTGCCAATTGACTCAGAGCCTGTCATACCTGGTGACCCGGTGCCCACTGCCTTGCCAGATGACGCGGTGCCCGCTGGCAAGCCAAATGACCTGATGCCTGGTGACCCAGTGCCCGCTGTCATACCTGGTGACCCGATGCCCGCTGTCGAGCCAGACAATCCGATACCTGATGACCCGGTGCCCACTGTCGTGCCTGTTGACTCGGAGCCCACTGTCTTGCCAGACGACTCGGTGCCCGCAGTCTTGCCAGACGACTCGGTGCCCGCAGTCTTGCCAGACGACTCGGTGCCCGCAGTCTTGCCAGACGAGTGCCCGCAGTCTTGCCAGACGACTCGGTGCCCGCAGTCTTGCCAGACGACTCGGTGCCCGCAGTCTTGCCAGACGACTCGGTGCCCCCGCAGTCTTGCCAGACGACTCGGTGCGAAGCCTGCTACGACTCCCCAGTCTTGCCAGACGACTCGGTGCCCGCAGTCTTGCCAGACGACTCGGTGCCCGCCCGCTGTTCCGCCAGTCGACTCGGTGCCCGCAGTCTTGCCAGACGACTCGGTGCCCGCAGTCTTGCCAGACGACTCGGTGCCCGCAGTCTTGCCAGACGACTCGGTGCCCGCAGTCTTGCCAGACGACTCGGTGCCCGCAGTCTTGCCAGACGACTCGAAGCCTGCTGTTCCGCCAGTTGGCTCGGTGCCCGCAGTCTTGCCAGACGACTCGGTGCCCGCTGTTCGACTCGGTGCCCGCAGTCTTTTCCGCCAGTCGACTCGGTGCCCGCAGTCTTGCCAGACGACTCGGTGCCCGCAGTCGCCAGTCGACTCGGTGCCCGCAGTCTTGCCAGACTCGACTCGGTGCCCGCAGTCTTGCCAGCGACTCGGTGCCCGCTGTCCGCCAGTCGACTCGGTGCCCGCAGTCTTGCCAGTCTTCGACTCGGTGCCCGCCCTTGCCAGTCGACTCGGTGCCCGCCAGTGCCAGTCGACTCGGTGCCCGCAGTCTTGCCAGTCGACTCTTGCCCGCAGTCTTGCCAGTCGACTCGAAGCCTGCTGTTCCGCCAGTTGGCTCGGTGCCCGCAGTCTTGCCAGACGACTCGGTGCCCGCTGTTCCGCCAGTCGACTCGGTGCCCGCAGTCTTGCCAGTCGACTCGGTGCCCGCAGTCTTGCCAGACGACTCGGTGCCCGCAGTCTTGCCAGACGACTCGGTGCCCGCAGTCTTGCCAGTTGACTCGATGCCCGCTGTTCCGCCAGTTGACTCGGTGCCCGCAGTCTTGCCAGACGACTCGGTGCCCACTGTCGTGCCTGGTGACTCGGTGCCCGCCGCTTCGTCTGGGGGCCCGAGACCTGTTGCTCCGCCTGAGGGCCCGAGACCTGTTGCTCCATCTGGGGGTCCGGCGCCCGCCGCTCCGCCTGAGGGCCGAGACCTGTCGCTCCATCTGGGGGTCCGGCGCCCGCCGCTCCGCCTGAGGGCCCGAGACCTGTAGCTCCGCCTGGGGGTCCCGGCGCCCGTCGCCCCACCCGGGGGCTCGAGGCCCGTCGCCCCGCCCGGGGGCTCGAGGCCCGTCGCCCCGCCCGGGGGCCCGGTGCCTGTCGCCCCGCCCGGGGGCCCGGTGCCTGTCACCCCCCCGCCCGGGGGCCCGGTGCCTGCCGCTTCGCCTGGTAGCCCGATGTGCCTCTGCCCGGAGTCCTGCCCGATGTGCCTCTGCCCGGAGTCCTGCCCGATGTGCCTCTGCCCGGAGTCCAGCCCGATGTGCCTCTGCCCGGAGTCCAGCCCGATGTGCCTCTGCCGGAGTCCAGCCCGATGTGCCTCTGCCCGGAGTCCAGCCCGATGTGCCTCTGCCCGGAGTCCAGCCCGATGTGCCTCTGCCCGGAGTCCAGCCCGATGTGCCTCTGCCCGGAGTCCAGCCCGATGTGCCTCTGCCCGGAGTCCAGCCCGATGTGCCTCTGCCCGGAGTCCAGCCCGATGTGCCTCTGCCCGGAGTGCCTCTGCCCGGATGTGCCTCTGCCCGATGTGCCTCTGCCCGATGTGCCTCTGCCCGGAGTGCCTCTGCCCAGTGTGCCGCTGCCCGGAGTTCTGCCCGGTGTGCCAGTCTTTGATATCCCGCCAGTTACCAGACCCGGGCGGTGGAACATTTTTCCCAGCTAGGACTGTTTGGAGCGTCCTGAGGCCGCTCCTTGAGGGGGGGTACTGTCAGGAATGGACTGGCCAGCAATGGTGGGACTCACCTGCCTTTTGATCTGCAAGACCAGGGCTGGCCAGCGGATGCTCCCAGCAATCAGAGACTCAACTTTGCAGCCAGCTAACACCTGGAATTGATTATGCTGGGGTATTTAAGGGATGGCCAGACCCACAGACTCTGCCTTGGTGTTGTGTTTGTCCTGGGCCCTGTATCCTGTTTCTGTCCTGCATCCTGTTTCTGAACCGCTGCTGACTTCTCCTGCTCTGATCCCGGCTCGCTCCTGACCATCCCTCTGCCTGACCCTCTGTACCACGCTGCTTGCTACCTGTTCTGATCCCTGGCTTGTGACCCTGACCATCCCTCTGCCTGACCCTCTGTACTACGCTGCTTGCTACCTGCTGAACCTGGCCTGTGACCCCGACCAATCTCCGCTTGCTCCCCCTGTACCTACCTGCCCTATTGATATTGACCCGGCCTGCCTGACGACGCTTGCTTGTATGTACTGTTATCTGTGGGTGGTTGGTTTGGTTTGGTTGCACTGTATTATGTTTTAGTATTGCACTGCGTTATGTTTGTTTGTATTGTTATGTTATAAACAATATAATTTATTAACACTATCTGAGGTCTGCGTTTCCCTGCGTCAGCCACACACCTCTGGTCACACCTGGGAGCCCTGACAGTACCGCACCTAGTCCCACGTCAGAGGCATCAGTCTGTACCACAAACTCTGTTGTGAAATCTGGAGTCACAAGCACAGGTTGGGCACAGAGAGCTTGTTTCAGCCTTTGAAATGCGGTCTCCGCCTCGGGATTCCACTTAATCATGACCGACCCCCTACCTTTCGTCAGATCTGTCAGTGGGGCTGCAATGATGGCAAAATTGGGGATAAACCGCCTGTAGTATCCTGTGATCCCAAGAAATGGCCGGACTTGCTTTTTATTTACAGGTTGGGGCCACTTTTGAATCGCCTCAATTTTATTGATTTGAGGCCTAATGAGACCTCGACCAATGATGTAGCCAAGATATTTGGCCTCCTCTAAGCCTATGGCACACTTTTCTGGGGTTAGCGGTAAGACCTGCTTCCCTCAGCGAATCTACTACCGCTTGCAGGCAGGACAAATGAGACTCCCAGTCTGGACTGTGGATGACGACATCGTCCAAATAGGCAGCTGCATATTGGCGATGTGGTCTTAACGTTTTGTCCATCATTCGTTGGAATGATGCCGGAGCACCATGTAGACCAAACGGCATCCACTTATACTGAAAGGACCCCTCGGGGGTAGAGAATGCCGTCTTTTCTTTTGCAGCTTCCGTTAAAGGAAGCTGCCAATAGCCTTTGGTTAAATCTAAGGTGGTTATGTACCGAGCCGTTCCCAACCTGTCAATGAGCTCATCGACCCGAGGCATCGGGTACCCATCAAATTTAGACACACTGTTCAGTTTTCTGAAATCATTACAGAAACGAATAATTTCCTTTGCCACCGCTTCCCGCCTGGCCTCGGGTATTCTATAGGGCTTGACATTTACGCGGACCCCGGGCTGGGTAACTATGTCATGCTGTATGACCGTCGTCAGTCCAGGTAGGTGGGAGAAGAAATCTAGTACAGTTTTCCATAGTTATTAATAAATATAGTTTTCCACCCCTAGTGACATTGGGGTACGGCCCAGGTGCATGAAAAAAGTCCTCAGCGGCTGCATATCTCTCCACCAGGTCCACCAGCTCGTTTGCAGATTTAGGGTCTCCACGACCGACCCACTTCCTCAAAGTGGCAGGGAGTGCACGCAAATATTGGTCCATGACCACACACTCCACAATCTGAGGGCCTGACAACACCTCTGGCTGGAGCCACTTTTTGGAGAGATGTATCAAATCGAACATCTGAGATCTGGGTGGTTTGTCAGCCCTGTAATGCCACTGATGCACCCACTGAGCCCGGACTGCAATGGTGACACCCAGGCATGCAAGGACCTCAGCCTTCAGTTTCTCATAGTCCTGGGCATCCCCTGGTTCCAGGTCATAATAGGCTTTTTGGGATTCACCTGTCAAAAATGGTGCAAGCAGTCCTGCCCATTGCTCCTTTTTCCATCCTTCCCGAACAGCAACCCTTTCAAAAGTTGTGAGGTAGACCTCCACATCATCCGCAGGTGTCATCTTCTGCAAAACATAGCTGGCCCGTGCCATTTTCTGCTCCACTGGCAGCGGATCTGCAGATTCCTTCTTTAATTCTAATAGGTGTTGGGCCACCTGCTTAAGGAGCTCTCGGTCTGCTTCTTGGGCCTCCGCAAACTGGCGATTTGTCTCCCGTTGTGCTGCATTGGCCTGCAGCAAGGCTCTTATTATTTCCTCCATCTTCCCACTTGCTCAGAAAGTTGCCCGCCAAATCCACCATATGTGGGGTTAGCTCAGGTGGGGGATCTCCTTCCCTGGGACAAAGGTAGACCGCACAGCAGGCTTTCGTCAAAATCTGACTGGTTGTCAGTTTTATTAAAAAGGTTTGCAAGAAATATCAAAATAAACAAAACATCAAAATAAACCCTTGCCATCCAGGCACTAACTAAACAGAAGATGATTCCTCTCTCAGAGGTGAAGGGCTTCTCCCTGTCACCAAAACAAAATAACAGCAAACCTTTTCTTGTAGGTATAGTCCATACACACAGCTCTCTCAGAATACCTCTCTGAGTCCCAGCCCACGAGCGACTCCTTGCTCCAGCCCGGCCCTTTTTGTATCACCTGTTGGTGGTCATTAGTGGAGTTCAAACTCTGGTTCGGAACCACCTCTGCCATTGTGGCCCTGAAAACCCGGAGTGGACTCCACCTTACACCTCCCAGTATGATCTCTTCCATCCATCACTTTGCCGTTCATACTGTCACAATATATATATATATATATATATATGTGTGTGTGTGATTTGCGCTCCCGTGGTTTTCACACCCCTCCCAGATAGCGTCAGATTGCCCGTCAGTACACCAGTCATCACATTTAAACCCTTGATTGCCAGGAGCACGCTCATGTACAATAAACCTCCATTGCTAGTATAGTGTCTGAACGGGTCACTATCTTTGAT